TACCCCTGTTCCAGAAGTAGGTCCAGGTCGGCTTTGGTGGCCCGCAAATTGAACACCTCGCCGAGTTCTTCCGGTGTCGCCGGCCTGATGTGTTCCGGTGACACCATGACGCATCGTCCGTTTCTGCTCACCCAGTAGTTCGGGCCTTCTCTGCCTATGATGGAACAAGGTCCATGCCAGGCTCCCCTTTTGGAATTCTTGAACTTGCGGTAGTAGAAAGCCTGCTCGCCAACCTGAATGTCCCGGGCTTGAACTCGACTTCGACCATGTAGTGCACGCCGAACTTGCTGGTCAACTTGCACTTGGTGAAAGGCTGCACGGGCGGCCGATCGAATAGCAACCTCTCGTGCATGCTTGTCGCCAACAAAGATCTCGTCGCCGGGGTTCTGGTTAGCGGGGCCATCCAGTAAGTCCTCGGGCAGATTGCGTGTAGTTCCGAAGACATGTTGGGATGGTGAATATCCGGACACCTTCCTGAGCTCATTCTTCGCATTGGACGTAGCGGCAATCGCCAACTTGATCTCGTCCTTGGTGACACTCATCTCCTCATTGATCCGGTTGAAGATTGCTTTCCAGATCCCGCCCTGTCTTTCGGTGAATCCGGCCTGGTAGTGGGCTTGACCTGCACAGCTTCGTATCTTCATTCCAGTCCAGTCGCCAATGCGCCCGAAAGCCTTCTGTAGGCCGTTCTCTAGGTCGACGGCAATAGTTCCTGGGGCACCAAATACATTGATCCAGTGGTCGCATAGGGCGCCCTCCAGAACATTGGCATTCTTCCTCGGGACAGGGATCACGATGTGATAGGAAGAGGAGAAGTCGACGAGCGATAGGAGTTCGTGCTTCACGCCGTCGGTGTCATGGACATAGATAAGATCGGCACCGATCACCTGATTGAACTGGAGGAAGTTGCCCACAGCAGCCGGCTTGGCGATGGCCGTGGCTTTAGTGCGGGTGCACGTCTGGCATTGCAGCGTCTTGGCTGCCTTTAGGACTGCGGGTGAAGCACCTGCTAGCCGGAGATGTCTCAAGAAATCCGCCTGGCTTGGGTGGCCGAGATTCTGATGCAAGCGTTTGAGAGCGGAAGACACATGGGGCGGGATGTTCTTTCCGAGGGTAATACCCCGAGCTCCGTCGAAATCCTTGGGTGCCTCCTTCTCTGCGTCCACGATCTCGGTGGGGTAGGCGGTTGTCGGTGGAGACGACCGAACACGTAGGCATTCTCGGTGATCGTCTATCCACACGGTTTCGGTCGCGTAGTTCTCCCACTTTCTCTTGCACTCGCTCCACAGCGGACCCATCTCTTCGTCCTTCTCGAAGACCACGGTTCTTCCATCGCGTAGTTGTTGTTCTGCTGCCTCCCAGACGATTGCCTTCGCTTGCGGTAGCCTCTCTTCGTCCAGATGCACCTACAGTTCGCTGGGAGACTGTTGTAGACACACGGTCGCCAACGATCGACCCCCGTAGACGTTGGGGTCTTGTAGGTCTTCCCAGAGGATTGGCTCCCGCGTCTTCCCCAAGTAGGCATGCGACTTCACAAGTTGCAGTCACGCCGCCAATCTCGAGGATGGGCGTAGTAGGTCGGGATGGCCTGGTCACCATGTACGCCTCGGCTTGGTTCTGGAGGGCGACGGACATGGTTGCTAGAACAGAGCTCAACTGCGCCGCCCTTTTCCAAAGGCTCTTTCGGAAGCTCCGCTTTGGTCCTCGTCGCTCAGGCTGCAGAGGGGGCTGTTGAAGTCCTCTGGTCTTCGACGGCATTGGGAAACCCAGTTGGATCATGGCGGTCCGCTCGGACTTGGTGATCTCGAAGACGGTGCGGGTGGTATAGGCCACGAGCGAATACCGCTCTCCTGTCCATGGTTCCCCCATGTGTAGCTGTTTGGGGCCGAAGCTGATGAACTTGTGGTGGGTGTCGTGGATCCTGCCCTCGACCTCTTCACCGTTCGGGTGTCGTCTCCATGCCCCACCGTCGTTGTCTTGGACCCAAAGTCCTCCAGAGCTGTGGTTGCCAAAAGAGGTAGCGTAGTTACGGCTGTCTCTGTGGTTGTGGACATCAACATGCATGGTGCCCTTGGCATTCCGGAGGATCGTGAAAGAGCTCCAGGTGGGATCACCGTCATGTACTGGGGCGTGACGTTGGATGAAGAGGTTGACATACTTCACGAACTCAGGCCTCATCATGGTCTCGCGGCAAATTCCTTTGAACGGCCCGTATCC